GTTCAGAGAGTTCCCATGTACTCCACACCCGGTTTCCTCTATCTATTATTAATATTTTACATTAGTATGGTACAGTTGTTAAAATTAATGAACCAATACCAACACATTATTATTAATTAAAATCCATACTTTATTCAGATTTCATTAGTTTTTACCTAATGTCCTTTTTCTGTTCCAGGATCCCATTCAGGATACAACATTACTTTTAGTCATCATTTCCTCAGGCTCTTCCTGCTGTTTTTGATAACCTTGACAATTTTGAGGAACACTGGTAGGTATTTTGTAGAATATCCCTCACCTGGAATTTGTGTGATGTTTTTCTCATGGTAGACTGGGGATATGGATTTTGGGGAAGAAGACCGTTGAGACAAAGTGCCTTTTCATCACACCCTATCAAGGGTACATACCAAACACATGACATACCAGTGTTAATGTTAACTGTGGTCCCCTAGCTAGGGTAGAGTTTGTGAGGTTTTTCTACTTTGAAGTTACTTTTCCCAATTTCCATATTGTTCTCTTTGGAAAGAAGACAGTATGTGCAGCCTTCATTTAAGGAATGGGCCAATTGATTTTTTTAAAAAGTTGTAAAAGCAATTCAATGGAGGAAAGATAGTGGTTTTGAACAAATAGTGCTGGAAGAATTGGATATCTATGTGCAAAAAAAAAATCTTGATCCATACTTCACACTGTTAACTCAAAATGGACCAAAGACCTAAATGTAAGAGTAAAACTACAGAACATTTAGAAGACAACATAGGTGTAAATCTTTGTGACCTTGGATTAGACAATGATTTCTTAGATATGGCACCCAAAGCTCAAGCAACCAAAGAAAAAAACTGATATACTGGACTTTATAAAAATTTTATGGTTTTGCACTTGAAAGGATACTATCAAGAAAGTGCAAAGATAATCCATAGCAAGGGAGGAAATATTTGCAAGTCATCTATCTGATGAGTCTACTATCCAGAATATAGAAAGAACTCTTACAACTCAATATAAAAAGACAACCTAATTTAAAAATGAACAAAGAATTTGAATAGACATTTCTCCAAAGAAGATAAACAAACGGCCAACAATTACATGAAAAGATAACCAATATCATTAGCAAGGAATATCATTTGCAAGGAAAATGCAAAATCAAAACCATAATAAGACACCACTTCACACCCACTAGGATGGCTATAATCCAAAAGGTGTAAAATAACAAATGTTGATGAGGATATGGAAACATTGGAAGCCTCCTACATCACTGGCAGCAATGCAAAATGGTGCAGCCACTTAGTAAAACAGTTTGGCAGATTCTCAAAAAAATTAAACCTAGAGTTACCATATAACCCAGCAATTCTACTCCTGGGTCTATGCCCAAGATAATTGAAAACATATGTTCACACAAACACTTTTACATGAATGTTCAAAGCGGAAACAACCCAAATGTCCATCAACTGAGGAATGGATAAACAAAATGTGGTATAGGCATAAGATGGGATATTATTCAGCTTTAAAAGGGAAAGAAGTACTGATACATGTTACAACATGGATGATCCTTGAAAACATTAAAGCTAGTGAAAGAAGCCAGTCACAAAAGGACACGTATAATTCCATTTACATGAAGTGCCTAGAATAGACAAATCCATGGAGACAGAAAGATTAGTGGTTTCCAGGGGCTGGAGATTGGGTCAGAAAGTGGGTGTGGGGGAAGAGAAAGTGACTGCTAATGGGTATGGGGTTTCTTTTGGGGTGATGAAAATGCTCTAAAATTAGATAGTGGGGTTGGTTGCACAAGTTTCTGAATACACTAAAAACTGATGAACTGTATACTTTAAAAGGGAGAATTTTATGTTATATGAAATATATCTGAGCAAAGTTTTTTTAAAAAAAAACTTAGATAAGACATCAAAAGCACAATACAAAAAAGAAAAAAAAGTGAATTGGATTTCATAAAAATTAACAGTTTTTGCTCTGCTAAACATGGTTAAGCAAGCCCCCCTGGTGGCATAGTGGTTAAGTTTGTGTGCTCTGCTTTGGCAGCCTGGGGTTTGCAGGTTTGGATCCCAGGTGCAGACCTGGCACCACTCGTCAAGCCACACTGTGGCAGCACCCCACATAAAATAGAGGAAGATTGGCACAGATGTTATCTCAGGGCCAATCTTCCTCACACACACACACAAAAACCCAAAAATAGAATATTATCCATAATTAAATCAAAAGTAGGTTTCGGTGGCTCCTGAGTTAAGCAGCAAGTCAAGTTACTTAGTCAGTACTTACTGAGTTAAGTACTCTCACACATTTGTCTGCTTCTGGAGTAAAGAGTCTGCAAATTCCACCTCAGGTCTTAAGTTCAGGTTGACAACAGTCCGTGTTGGCATTGTCAGTTTATTCTGGAAAGCCTATTATCTATGATATAGCCTTCAAGTGTGGCTCTTTTGATGTTTCTTCCAGAAGACCAGTTACCCTTGGGCAAGCTAGGATCCTCCGGAGGTGTTAACAGCTGGATTAACTCCAGCTATTTTGTTCTGAGTCCTCTGTTGTAGTACTTGTCCAGGCACACTGGGGCTCAAGCTGGGGCACATCTTTTCAGATTTAATAACTCTTTATTGTTGCCCATGGAGCTCTCCCTCACATCTCGATTGAGTCATGTGAACGTTTTTGGGACACTCCCCCCCCCCCCCCCCGACACACACACACACACACTAATTTCTTCTGGGAGAAAGGAGAGAGAAAGCCATGTGTTCCAAACTCTAGATTTCTCAGAAAGACCAGAAACTTGGAAGAAGCCAAAAACAGTTGTTCCCTGGGCATCACACATTCCAGCTCCTTCGTTCAGTTGTTACCCAAACCAAGCAAAACTCTCTTAAAAGTGTCTGCCCATTCGTTCTCCTCAATATATAAAGCCGGTTAAAATATTTCCTTCAATCTTTGTGTACATTTTTCTCCCCTGACCAAAGGAATCAGAAAGATCTGTGTGTCTGCACCAGATTTGCTAGACGGCACATACAATGATAAGCTTTTATGATCTGTCTATCCCCCCAAATTGAGAAACAAAGAAATATAGAAAGAGTTACAGACAAACCTTGTAAAAGATTAATTATTACATCTTGCTTTTGTGAAAAAGGGAGAAGCCTTTTTGTCCTCCTTTAAATTCTCACACAAACAAAAAGAACTACAAGCTTAGGTTTTACAGCTTCAGCACACGTCAAAAGGCCATATAGGACTCAGGAACTCACCGGTCCAGCAGCTCCAGCAAACACACACATACACACACACACACACACACACACACACTTTTTTTATAGAATTGCACTCCTAGTGGGAAGCAAACAAGCCAACTAGCATAGAGAATGCCAGGAGATGACAGAGTACCCAGGGCAAACAGACAATCAAAAATTATTACCAATCAGATTTTCTATTGTCCACCATCTGGCAGAAAGCCAGATAGTCAGCCAATCCCAAGAAACTATGAGAACCAGATCTCTGTAATTTCAGGATGCTGTTCAGCAAGTGAATGCTTGCTCTTGGAGCCCCGAGCCCACACGCAAGACCTCCACCTCCTGAGGCGCCCATGGAGAAGACTCCTCCAGGTGCCCCGGTCTGCAGCCCTCATCTTTCAGTTATCCCAGTGCAAGTGCCAGTTATGTGAGGGAACGAGGCCAGGGGTTGGCCAACTTTTTCTGTAAAGGGCCAGACCCGATGGCTTTGTGGGCCATATTAACTCTGTCACAACTATTCGACCCTGCTGCTATAGCCCTAAAGCAGCCAGAGAGAATAAGCCCATGAATGGCTGCGTTCCAATTACACTTATTTACAAAAACAGGCAATAGGCCTGCAGGCTGCCGTTGGCTGACCCCTGTTTTAGATGACTCTAGTCCCTAGCCTAAGATCCCAGCAGAGATCAAAGAGCAAAGTCAAACTACCTCCCTGTGCCCTGTACAAATCTCAGACCCAGAATCCACGAATCTAATATAACTGCTGCTGTTTACCCCCACTGTTTGCGTGGTACGTCACACGGCAAGAGATAACTAGAACAGTTTTATACAAGGAAGGCCTTATCAAGAAAGTGAGATTTGAGCAAAGATTTGAAGGAGGAGAGTTAACTGAGAGGGTGTGAGACTGGCTGAAGAGCCTTCCAGGTAGAGGGAACAGTCAGTGCAAACCCCTGAGGGAGAAGAGTACCTGGTGTCTATGAGCAACAGCAAGAAGGCTATAGGAGAGCTGCTCTGCTGAGACGCCCTGGCGACCTGGCACATCTCCACACAGGCATGTGGGCAAGGCCGGACTGCAGTCTCGCCCAAGTCTTGTTGGACTGCCCTATGATTCCCCTTGGAGCAAGGGGAGGTAAGCCTGGTGAGCAGCTATTGGGAGCCAGTTTCATATCCCTATCTTGTGGGCGATGGCTGCAAGGCTGTTTTTCTTCCTTCTCTATATTTTCAGTTGAGCACAGGACTTTCCGTCTTCTTCCCTCCATGACTCCCCCTTCCCCCAAGGATACAGCCTCAGGCTCCTGTGTAAGTCTATAAAACTGCTTGGCTGCAGCTTAGAGTTGGTTGCTTAGCAGCAGAGCCGCCCACTGCTCATGTCTCTTCATTGGCCCCTCTGGCTTGGTGTCACCATGTGGGGCTATGGACTCAAGGAGCGGACACCATGCTGATTTTGCTTTTGCTGTCAGTATAAGTAATAACCTGTCCAAATTATTTGGGCTGGTTGTCTCCTTAGAGCCAAATCTACCTGAAGAGACCAGCTAGCCTAGGGCTCACACACTGCTTGACAAGAAACCAGCATGGATGTCAGTGGAGCAAGGAGATGAGGTCAGAGAGGAAAGGGTGCTCCAGGTCATGGAGGACCTTGTAGGCCACAGGTAGGACTTTGGCTCTTATGCAGCGAGAAAACAGGAACCACTGTAGAGTTTTCAGAGTTATGAGCAAGGAATGGCATGATCTGGCTCACGTTGTGAAAGGCTCACATTAAAAATGTTTCCTTTAAGCAAGAATGTATATAAATGTAACTTGTTGCGATTATTGGTAAAAGCGGCTTAGATCTCCTCTATGACTAACTTTCTCTGCTGCAGAGCCGTCTCTCTCCAATCCTGCGCTGCAGTTTTTCGGTGAGGTTCATCTCCCTCCACAAGCCTCACCTCTCTCTGACTCTTCAACGGGGCCCAGCAAAGACTTCTTCCCCAAGAACCGCTCCCCAGGAGGCAAAGAACTCCTCGACGCCGGGCGGGCTCTCACACCTTTGGCAGCACCCAGGGGGCGCTCAGCACGGAGCGGGGCCGCGGTGGCCCTAGCCTTTGGGAGCCTTGCTGCCTGGGTTTTCTGCGTCCGCTACGCCTGGACGGCGGAGTCGCCACGGCACCCCAACTGCTGGACCCTCCTCGTAGGTGAGGCGGCTGCGTCGGGTGCCGTCCACTCCTCTCCAACCTGGTCTCCTCCCTCTCCCCTCCCACCCCCACGTGCTGGACAGCGGGCCCGCGCAGAGACCTGGGCCCCTTTCTCCTCCCCACCTTCGGCCCTCCCTCCCTTCTACAGGTCTCCGATTCCCTCCCCCAGCCCGGTCCGCCCCGGCTCGGCCCCGGCCCGCCCCTTCCAGCCCCCAGCTCCTCCCGCCGCGGCTCAGTCCCGCCACTCCGGCGCTGGCTGCCCAGGCCTCCCGGACCAGGCTGCTTCGCTGGCGCGCTTGGCCGGCGCCGCGGCAGGTTCAGGACGTCCATCTGTCCGTCGGTCCGGAGAGAATCTCCAGATCCGCGGCCCCAGGATGGGACAGGCCCTGCTGCTGCTTCTGCCCTGGCTCTTCCTCCCCGCGTTCTGGAGAGGAGGTGAGCGCGCGGGGCCGGGGGCCAGGCGCGGGGCCGGGGGCTCGCGGCCCGGAGCTCGAGGAGGGAGCGCGCCGGCTGCTGGGCAGGTTTGCAAACACCTCCCGCCGCCCAGCGGTGCCCGGGAGTGGAGCGCAGGGGCACCCACCAGCCCAGTGACAGGGCACTCAGGCTGGGTCGTGGGTAGGCGTCCCGGAGAAGCCGGGTATCAGTGGGCACCAAGGGCCCCCCTTTACCGCAGAGGAGGACATCGAGCTCGGCCGGGAACGCTGCAAGTCCCGAAGTTTTCTGCCGAGAGGAACGTTGGTGGCAGGTCCGGTCGGGAATGCGCCGAAAACTTTCTAGACATCGTCGTGTGGTTGGACTCCGGCTCCGGCGGGAGTTCTGGGAGCCGCAGACTCTGTCTCTCGAGGGACGCGCGCCCGGAGACGAGCACGCTGCGGGAGTGGGGGTCACGCCCCCGGTGCTGCGATCCACCAACGCCGGCAGTCGGCTGGGGAGAGACGGGCGTCCCAGCGGCTCCCACTGGGTCCTTATGGGCAATATTAGCACCCTTTTGTAGGGACACCCTGTGAGTGCGGGGCCCCTGGAAAACGGGGAAGCATTCTTTTCACCTCTGTTATTGCTGAATAGAATCTAATGTGCTTGGACAGGGTCTAGGTTTATCTCAGTTCTGCCAAATAGTGCAACAGGCATTCCAGAATAAGATGCTGGATTGATAAGTGGAGGCAAGGTAAGGCAGGTCCCATTCTGCATCGACAGCTTGTTTGGAGGGAAGTGATGACAGGCTAGAAGTTTGATCCCTGATGCGTTTCTTAAGGGAGCTGGACCCTTCTTAACCAGGCTTTACCAAAAAGAAAAAGAAAGGGAAAAAATAAGATACGCTAAATAAACACATCCCAGGCATTTTTGCTTAACTAAAAATTTTCTATTACCATTTAGCATGTGATTTTTGTCTCTTTTGACCATGAATAAGGCTGAGTAGCTTTCACCTATTATAAAGATGTTTTTTAAAGAATACCTGGAAAGTTCAATTTATAGTAAGCAATTTATAGAAAGTTTCTTCCTTTGAAGTTTTCCTTTGAAATCTCAGTTACTCAAATGAAACCTTAAGCAGTTGGTGGCAGGTCCCGTTGGGAATTACAAAAGCAATTGATAATTTGGGGCAACACAGCAATTTGAAACAAACATCAAAATCCAAAACCAAACAAAGAACTAAAACAGTTCTGTTCTCCACTCCCCCAAACCCTGAAATCCCTCAGCGTTTAGCCAGCTCCACTTTTCATAATCTGCAGTAAATCTGTTAGATTTTGCTACTGGCGAGGTGTTGGAGGTAGTGAATGTGGTGAAAATTATGGGAAAGTAACGGAAACAATAGTTTTGGTGTAAGATGGTAAAAAAATGGAGTTTTTCTTTTTCGAAATTTTTTGAAAGCTGAAATAAAAAATTTTGTAGCTGACAATCAGGTTTAGTCAGATAATCATAAAAGGTCTGTTAAAATTGCCCCAGCAGGAAGAATGAAACATTTCTCCAATGTTTCTTCTTCTGCCTTTTGTTTTTTATCTTACACTTACCTGTGAGATGTCTGACGGTATTACCTCTTACCTTGTGAAAAGCTAAAGAATGGGATTCTCACTGGCAGAATTGGAGCAGAGGTAAGAGTGCAATAGGAAGAGATTAAAATGTAGTTTTAAGATTTTAATTTTGCATATTGTGGGTGCAAGTGGTTTGCTTAGCAGACAGGAAAGAGAGAGAGAAAGACAGGGTGGAATGTGTGTTGACTCTACACCTTAGAGGAATGGATAAATGATTAAAATTTACGCATCACTTTAACCCAGGAATCCTGCCACCAACCCCATGCAAACAAACACCATCCCACAAAGACTCGCACAGAGAACTCAAACTGCTGACCCAGGGGCATTTCCAGGCTTTCCAGTCCGTCCTTTCTGCTCAGTCTCTGATGGGGGTGCCAGTGAGCAAGAAAACCAGGAAAAGAGTGACGGGCTGGTGGGCAGGGGAGAGGACAAGGAGGAGAAATAGAAAAGTGGATAAAAGTGAAGGACTCAGCCCGTGATGAAGCCATGCGTGCATTTAAACTCAACCCTTAGAACAAATTGGGCTTTTAAAATTCTTCATTGTTTGTGTTTCTCTCTCCAACTGATGCTGTAACTCATATTACCATATATTATAGACATTTTCCCAGGGAGAACTTTAGTTGTCCTGTTGCTTATGGGCTTTATCACAATGGCCTCAAATGCTTTTTGGAAGTATGCAGGGCACTTTTTAAAAATAATGCTGATTCACTTTCTTTTCTTTTTTTTTTTTGAGAAAGATTAGCCCTGAGTTAACAGCTGCCAATCCTCCTGTTTTTGCTGAGGAAGACTGGCCCTGAGCTAGCATCTGTGCCCATCTTCCTCTACTTTATATGTGGGATACCTACCACAGCCTGGCATACCAAGTGGTGCCATGTCTGTACCCAGGATCCGAACCAGCGAACCCCAGGCTGCCAAAGCGGAATGTGTGCACTTAACCATTGTGCCACCAGGCTGGTCCCTGATTCACTTTCTTAAAGTGCTGAGTGGAACACAAATAACCAACTCTGATGGGTACTGGGGCCGGACCCTATGGTAAATTTTTTAAATATTTGTGTTCCACTCAGCACTTTAAGAAAGTGAATCAGGGACCGGCCTGGTTATTAACAGGTTGACTCTTTAGATGTCTGTGAATTGGGAACATGATGCCAGGTAGGGAAGCCCCAACCTTGGTTTAAATGGATTTCCCCTCACCTGCCAATGATCCCACATGTGTTATCCTGCTTCCCACGTAATAGCCAGAATGAGATTTTGAAGATGAATCTGATTGTGTTGTCCCCTTGTTTAAAATCCTCCAGTGGCTTCCCATTCCTTACCAGGGTTTGCAAGGACTCGCAGGGCCTCCCACTCCCTTTGACTCATTTCCAATTGCTCCCTGCTTTTTCATGCTGCTCCAGCCACAGTGTCTTCTTTCTAGCACTTTTGCGTGGAGGTTCTCTCTGGCTGGAATCTTTTCCTCAAGATCTCTGCATGCTGGCTCCTTCTTGTCATTTGGGTTTCAGCTTGGATGGTCTCCTGAAGAGGCCTTCCCTCACTCCCACCCCCAGCCAAGGTTGCACACACACTCTCTCTCTCTCTGTTACATTTAATTTCCTGATAATGCTTATCACTACCTGACAGTAAATGGCACAGCACATAGCCTGTTTCAGGTGCTGGGTGAGTATCTGTGGATAGTATCAAAGAACCAGGCCTCTGCGGGTCTCGCCATGTGCTCCTCCCCCTTCCCTCTTCCTACTGGCTTTTCCAGAAACAGAATTGCTGCAGCTCCCCTCCCTTGTGCTCGGGGCTTGGTGGATAGAAAACAATCTTTTATTTTGCTTTGACGCCAAAATGATTTCATTACTAGAAAAGTTAGGACATTGAAAGAAGATAGATTTGGGGACTATGTTAACCCCAATATGGCAATATTAACATATTTTATATTCTCTTAACTATTCCAACTAGGAAAAAAGTCAGAAGCTGAGTTTGCATGTTAAAAACACAGTTTTAGCTACTCTTGAACCAGGGGCAGGTTGTCTGATATCAGCCCAGGTAGTTGTGACCCTGAGCCCCTTGACTTTGGCCCATTGTCACTAAGTTAACTTTAACCCAAGCACATGGCTCTGGGTTGGGATGCATCTCAGCAGGAAGTTAATTGTTATAAAAACTGAAAAAAAGTAGGCTCACCATGTGTACTTCTTGGAACGGGAATGGAAATGTTAACAGAGGCTTCAGCTCAGGGGCTGAGCAGCCAGCCAGCAAGCCCTGCTTCACGTCCAGCCTGGCTGGCCTGTGGGGGCCCCATGGCGGGTGGCTAACTCTCTGGACCTCAGTTTCCTCTCTGGTACAGTGGAACTCTTGGGAGGATGAAATGAGCTAATGGCACGTGGTAAGTGCTCCAAAAATATTAGCCATTATTACCAATGGTTCCCCTCTGTTCTTCTGCACTCAGATTTTGGGGTAATTGCTTTTCCTAGACAAAAGGTGTCAGGGGAGAAGATTCTTCTTTTCTCATGGAAAAGTATCCTAAATTGCAACTTGAAATATGAGGGCAGCCCTGCGGGCCCCTGCCACTGTTCATGGCAGTTTAGTGAAGCTGTGATGGGTTCTGGCCCAGAGCACTGAAGTCCTTGCTGTGGCTTTTTAGGATTTTGCTCCATAGGCGTTCTGCTAGCAAAACCCACGCTGTTGGATGAGCCGGGGCCTGCCCTGACCACCCCCCCCCCCCCCCATTGCCTTCCCGTGTTGAATTCAGCCTTAGAGCATAGTACAGGAATAGCTTCCTGTCATGTGCCTCTCAGGAAGGTATAAAAATGAAGTCCAATTCCTGCTTAACTTTTCCCATATAACTCTACTCCAGAGTGGGTGTGGCTTTGTTTTTGTATTTGTTTTGGTTTTGGTTTTTTGATCATAAACATCTCGAAAGTCCCTTGCCTTTTTACCTGCTAAAACTAGGTTTCCCTAGTGAAGCCTTTTGGCGGCAGTGGCTGCCACGTG